GCACATGTACACCTGTGTAACAAACCTGCACCATCTGCACAGGGCACATGTACACCTGTGTAACAAACCTGCACCATCTGCACAGGGCACATGTACACCTGTGTAACAAACCTGCACCATCTGCACATGTACCCCAGAACTTAAAGTATAATACATAAATTTAAAAAAAACAAAAGAAAGAAAACTGGGAAGCAGTAGAGAAAATGAATGAAACAAAAAGCAGAGATTAATAAAATTGACTGTTTTCTGGCCAAACTGATCAAGGAAAAAAAAGGGGAGAAAACATAAACTGCCATCATCAAGAATGAAAGGAGCAATATCACTACAGATTCTACTGGTATTGAAAGAAAGGATAATAGCGGAATATTAAGAACACTTATGCCTAAAATGTTAACAGTTTAAACAAAATGGACAAGTTTCTTGTAGACAGAATCTACCAAAGCTCATTCAAGAGAAAATGGATACTCTGACAGTTTTTGAATTTGTAGTTAAAAACCTTTTACAAAGAAAACTCTAGGCCCAGACGGTTTCACTGGTGAATGATACCAAACATTTAAGACAGAAATAATGACAATTCTACCCAAACTCTTCTAGAAAATCGAAGAGGAGGGAAGAGTTTTAATTAATTCTATGAGACTAGCCTTATACTAAAACTGGCAAAAGGCCAACATTCTGCATGAATATACATGGAAAAGTTCTAAACAGAATTTTAGGAAATTGAGAAAAAGGATAATATGTCATAAATAACTAGAGCTTAGTTCAGGAATGCAAGATCCATTTAACATTTGAAATTCAATCAATATAATGATCATACTGAGAAACTAAAAACTGTATGATTATCTCAACAAACAGAAAAAGCATTTAACAAAATTCAACATCTATCTATTCTTGAAAACTCTCAGCAAACTAGGAATAGAAGGGACCCTTCAGTCTGATAAATTGTATGTACAAAAAGCTTAGAACGAGTATTATAACTAATGGTGAAAAATTGAATGCCTTCTGTAAGATAAAGAACAAGTTATCAGTGTCCACTCTTACCACTGCTAATTTAACATTGTACAGGTAGTTTTAGCCATTGCAGTAAGTCAGGAAAAATAAACAAAAGTCATTGTGATTGGAAAGAAAGAAGTAAAACTATCTTTGTTTGCAGACATCATGATTACTCTACAGAAAATCCAAATCTCTAAAACCCACTAGAACAAATAAGTATTTGAAAAGATCACAGAATACAAGATTAATATAAAAAGTAAGTTGTATTTCTGTCTAGTATAAATGAATATCAGAAATTGAACCTAAAAATCAAGATTTGCTATAATGCAAAGTACTTAGGGATAACTGTGTCAAAGGATATACAAGGCATATATACTAAAAATCACAGTAGTCCTTTTTGTAGAGATTGACAAAATAATATTAAATTTCATATGGAAATGTGAAGAACCGGAATAGCCAAAACAAGTTTGGGGGAAAAAAAAACCAGTACGAATACTACCTAATGTCAAAGTACTAAGACTTTTATTGAGCTGCAGTAATCAAGACACTTTAGTTTTGGTGTCAAGTTCCGCAAACACATTTATAGAATAGAGAATCCAGGAATAGACCTACATGTACACGATGGAGAAGGGACAGTCTTCTCACCAAGAAATAATGGGATGTCCATAAACACAAGATGATTCATAAATCATCCATATATAAAATTAACTCAATCTGAATCACAGATACAAGCATAAAACCTCACACTGTAACACTTTCAGAAAAAACTTAGGAGAAAACTTTTGTGGTCTCGGATTAGGCAAAGATTTTTAAATAAGGCACCAAAAGCATGATCCATAGTATTACAAATGGATAGATTGCACTTTATCAAAATTAAAAACTCTGCTTTTAAAAAGAAAGAGAAAAGACAAACCACAGCCTAGAAGAAAATATTTGTAAATCATATATTCTATAAACACTCGTGCCCAGAATATAAAACTAAGTCTCAAAACTCAGAAAACAAATGACCTAATTTTTAAAATGAACAGAGTATTAACAGCTAGAAATACAGAATCAAATACGCACAGAAAAAGATGTTCAACATTATAGTCATTAGGAGAACACATTTAAAAGTGTAATGGAATATCAGCACATGCATATTACAATAGCTAAAGTTAAAGAACGTCAGGTGTTAGTGAGGGTACAGAAGACCTGGAATTCCCATACACTGACGGTGGGAATGATTAATTGGATGACCACTTTGACAAATAGTTTGGCAGTTTTCTTAAAAATTGTGCATATGCCTAACCATGCAATTTAGTCATTTCATCCTTAGGTGTCTTTCCAAGATAAAGTATATGTCCAATTTTTAAAAGTATGCATGAATGTGTGTAGTAGCTTCATTTGCAACATTCAGAAACTAGAAACAAGCCAAATATTCATCAATAAGTGAATAAACCACAATATATCCATGCAACAGAATGCTACTCAGAACAAGAAATATTAATGTATGCCCCAATGTGATAAATCTTAAAATACGCTGAGTGAAAGAAGCCAGATAAAAAAGAATACATTAGATGAGATTCCATCTAATCTGCAAGAACCCAAAATTATATTAGTGGTTCCCTTGGAAAGGTTTATTGGAATGGTGACCAGAGAGCACAGGAGCTGGAGGAAGCTTTTGGAGGTGTTGGATATTTTTGTTGTTTTGCTTGTGGCAAGGGTGTCAGTAGTGCCTACATATGCCCAATCTGATCAAACTGTACCCTTTGTTATTATTATTTTTTGAGTTGGGAGTTTCTCTCTTTTGTCCAGGCTGGAGTGAAGTGGCACAATCTTGGCTCACTGCAACCTCCACCTTCAGGTTCAATCAGTTCTCCTGCCTCAGTCTCCTGAGTAGCTGGGATTATAGCACCTGCCACCACGCCTGGCTGATTTTTGTATTTTTAATAGAGACGGGGTTTTGCCATATTGGCCAGGCTGGTCTCAAACTCCTGACCTTGGGTGATTCGGCTACCTGGGCCTCCCAAAGTGCTAGGATTACAGGTGTGAGCCACTGCACCTAGCCCGTATACTTTAAAGATGTGCCACATTTTGTATTTTACTCATATCTCAATATAGTTGTTTTTATTTTTTTTCAAAATCCCTAGATGATTCAAATGTACAGACAAACTTAAGAACCACCGCTCCAGTCCTTCAGGTCCCTGGCTTCACCCTGCAGCAGGGGGCAGTTTCTTGTTCTGGAAACTGGAACTTTCTGGAAATCCTATGCACATGCAGACATATATGAATACACATATCCCTTGTTCTGATTTCACAAATGGTAGCGTACTTTACACATCATTCTGTATTTTAACCCCCTTCACTTACTGTGTCTTGAAAATTATTCCATATCTATTCATATGGAATGACCTCATTCTTCTTGATAGCTCTGTGTTCCTGCAGTAGATCTGGACCTTAATTATTTTGACCATATGAGGTGGTGCTTTATTCTTACTTTAAAATCATTTGAGAATAAAAACGTAACTTAAATCGTTGCAGAATTAATTTTTCTTTTAGGCATATCCTTAAGTCTTCATAGTCATACTGTACATTACGATAAAATACCTTCTCCTATGTGCGTATACAAGCTTTCTACAACACCAAACTTACTATGAAGTAGGTAGTAATTTTTCACAGCTGACATGTGCATGTTTACATGCAATGTTAACAAGTGATGACATTTTGAAGAGTTATGATGACATTTTATTTGCTTTCCTTATTCCCTCAATGTGAAATGTGGTGTTTTGTTGGACTCCTCTTTCAATACTTATTTTATAAGTCCTCTTTTGGCCTCTGGCGGTCAGTTTGGCATTGGTCTTCGGGCCACAGCTATTCCAGAAATGTGTGCCATGCAGACTAATCTGCTATTAGTACTCACTTTTGGCAAGAAATTGGCTAAAATTTCACTGGCTTTTTTTTTTTTTATAGCAGAAGGTCGAATTGTCCAATGCCAAAATAATTTTTTATGTTTTAAAGTTAACCTCGCTCTTTGGTTTATAGACTCTGTTGCAGGAGGAAGACCATCTACAAGACAACGTACAAGTTTACCTGGGGGCTGAAACTCCTTGTTGACCATTTCTGTTTTCTTCACGGGTTTTTGTAGTTTTCAGTCTTACAGCAACAAGGATCTTAGTGTTCATTATTCAAACTATCCATATGGTACTGCAGTCTATGAATTTGTTTGATTTCTTGGTGAATATTAGTCTTTTGATGACTAATGATAATTTGAAGTTTTGCCAACATTTCCTCAGTTGTTGGATCAGGGGAATTTGTATCAGCTGAGTATCTGTTTTGTATTCTTAGCTGTCAAAATCAGTAAGAAGAGTCATCCGGGAGCGCTGGCTCACGCCTGTAATCCCAGCACTTTGGGAGGCCAGGGCAGGTGGATCATGAGGTCAAGAGATCGAGACCATCCTGGCCAACATGGTGAAACCCCATCTCTACTAAAAAATACGAAAAATTAGCTGGGCATGGTGGCCTGTAGTCCCAGCTACTCGGGTGGCTGAGGCAGGAGAATTGCTTGAACCCAGGAGGTGGAGGTTGCGGTGAGCCGAGATCGCGCCATTGCACTCCAGCCTGGTACCTGGCAACAGATCAAGACTCCGTCTCAAAAAAAAAAGAAGCGTCATTGCAGCTCCTTGTGGTAAATTCATTCACTCATTATTTCTCACATCGCAGAATTCCATATTCCTATGGTCAGGTTTCGCCGTTCTTCATTCACTCCTTTGCCCTTCATTTTATAGGATTTCAGGGGTTGTCCTTATCCTAGTCAGTCATGTTTGCTTGCAGTCATGCACCTGAGGTCATGCATCTCAGGAGTCACTGTACTACAGAATAAATGCACGTGTTTTGAATTTCATTTTTCCATGCAGTGGCTGCATTTTGGCGGCGAAAGTGGCTTTGCTGATTAGTGAGTTACCTCCAAGACCTCTCTCTATCTCTGAGTCCTTTACATTTTAGTTAACCTGTGATATGTCATTCTAACCTAGGGAAAGTGTGGAGAGCCTGATTCAAAAGCATTCCTATGCGCGCTCACCCATCCGTACCTATGGAGGAGAAGAGGATGTCTTGGGGGATGAGAGTCAGGCAACTCCAAATCGAGGTAAGGCAGCTTCCAAGGCCGTGGAATTGCTAGGAGCCAGAAAACCTAGAGGAGAATGGGGGCAGGTCATTGATGAGACGGCCAGTCCTCAGAGTACATGATGCTCAAAAAGGATTTCAGGAGCCTCCCTGGGAAAGGATAGCCCCTGACACCGATCCTCACACATGTCATTATTTCGCCTTTCAGTCATAGGCTGTGATGCTGCCTGCCCGTTTCCTATGGTTTGGTTTTTTTCAGTGAAAGAATATTGAGCCTTTGAGTCAGGGATCAGGAGTTACTTGTCCATGATTTAGTACGTAAGAGCTATTGAACTTTGGGAGCAGTCCCCAAGTCCTTCTGAACCACGGTTTTATAATCTGAAAATCAGGGAATATATCTATTCCATCTGTGTCAGGAATAACTTGGTAGAATCAAAAACCAAATTAGAAAATCCTTTTAAAGGAGGACTGTCCTAGTGAAGGATATTAGAGAGAGGCAGTGGCCCCAGTGCTGGAACTGAACAAAGTTTCTCTGTTGCCAAGGCTCAGAGAGCAGTTCCCTGCGTCTGGGAAGAGAGTCCAGAGAAAAGAGCCCAGAGGTGCTCCATTCTGGGAACGGGGAGGTTCACACAGGGAGAGAGCCCTCTGTCATTGTTTTATGTCCTCGATATGAAAGTATATAATCTGTGAAAACGTAGGACATTTCTTGTAACTCAGTCCAAGTGAGCCACTAGTATTACCGTTGACTCTTGAACAACACAGTGGTTAGGGGCACCAACTCCCATGTGGTCTAAAATGTGTCTATAACTTTGACTTCCTAAAACTTAACTGCTGATAGCCTACTGTTGATCAGAAGCCTTACCTGTAACACAAGCGGTCAATTCATGCATATTCTGTGTGTTACATGTATTGTATTCTGTATTCTAATAATACATCAAGCTAGAGAAAAAGTTATTAAGAAAATAATGAGAAAGGAAATATATTTACTATTCCTTAAGTGGAAATGGATCATCATAAAGGTTGTCATCCTCATCTTCACATTGAGTAGGTAGAGGAAGAAGAGGAGGGGTTGGCCCTGCTGTCTCGGAGATTGAGGAAGCTGAAGAGGTGGGAGGCAAGAGGGTCAGGCACACTCAGTGCAAATTGTATTGAAAAATACCTGCATGTAAGTGGACTTGTGCAGTTCTATCCCCTGTTGTTCAAGGGTCAACGGTATAGTCAGAAAATTCACTGTCAACTCTATTCTAAATTTCTGGATGCTGCAATGTAGGAAAACTTACTTTCTTAGATTTCACAGCAGTTTTGGAAACCAGACAGCTTGTGGAGATTTAGAATATTCAGCCTTCCTTATGACACTACAGAGTCAGAACAGAAATGAGGCATTTGCAGCTCCTTTTGAAAGAATCAGGTCATTACCTGCAGGCAGGGCAGGAATGTTTCGGCCACTCTGTGGGAGTGTGCAGGCTATCCAATGAGTTGTCTTTTTCCGTTTAGTAAATTCTCCTTCCATGCAGGGTGTAAATATCATCTTCTTATCTAGGTAGATTTGCCTCATGATAAATCTCATGTGTGTTTGTCCTTTTAAATGACAGATATATTAAATATTCTTCAATACAAATAGATCTTTACAGATAATTTAATTCTGGATCTGTACATTGACAGTGTTTACAATCTAATGGGTATTTTTCTTACAGGGTCAGCCTTTACAACATCTGATAATCTGTCACTAAGTTCCTGGGTATCATCTTCTTCCAGTTTTCCTGGGTTCCAGCACCCACAGTCCCTGACTGCTCTTGGCACCAGCACAGCATCCATAGCAACACCCATTCCTCACCCCATCCAGGGTTCTCTGCCTCCGTATAGCCGACTGGGAATGCCTCTGACCCCATCGGCCATTGCCAGCTCCATGCAAGGGAGTGGCCCCACATTCCCTTCATTCCACATGCCGCGATACCATCACTATTTTCAGCAGGGGCCCTATGCTGCCATTCAAGGACTGCGCCATTCCTCTGCTGTGATGACGCCATTTGTATGACTCTTCTAAAAATGGGAGAATCCAGATCCAGAGTGCGCAAATGGGTATGGAAATAGAGGACAGGGCTGGGTGGGTGGGACGGGGCTATTGAAGCAGGGGCTTTCCAGGAGACATGGGACCTATCAAAGAGGAGAGCTGGACTCACAATAAAACCTACCACTGAGGGAACGCACCATGGACCAGGATTCATCTGTAGTTGGGGACAGCTGTTGGGTTCCGGAGAGAATCCATGTAAAGTTCTCTGCCAGCTTGAGAGTTTAATGATACAAGGCTGATGAATCTTAAGGTGCATTATTCCTCATGGTTAAAATGCTGTGTTGATGCAGTAATGTATAAAATCGTTGTGTATAAGGTTTCATTCTGCTTTTCACAGGATAAAAGACTCTTCAAAGAGGCCATACCATATAGCATACTGACCATCATGACTAACTGAAGTCAGTTTATCCCCGTGGAAAATTGGAGCCAGTAGAAAATATTTGTAGTGATGTAGCATAAGCATGTTTCGTTTTCTTTTGTGTTAGTCTGCTGGGGAAGGAGCTGAGGTAATGCTAATGCATCCCGTTTTGTGGATGAATACATGGTAATGACTTCACAAAGTTCTGTTTGTAACATTGAAGGGCCAGTAACCAACAAACTCAGTTTTCAGTCTTCTTTCTTCCTCTTTCTCTTTATTGCAAACACTTACCAGGGTTAGGGTTAGGGCTAGAGTTATGGAGGAATAATCTTCCATATACAGTTTTGAAGCAAGAGCCTCTCTGTTACATGGTAAAACTGCAGTTTGATTTTTCTGGGCTGCATTCTAAACACACTACTGACTAATTCACTGAGGAACACTCCAAAGCCTGGGCATGTTGTTATGTGAGGCTTGCCTTCACTTTCAGCTGTGACGGAAAGATGTTCTTCTTTTCCAAAAGGAGTTCTCTGCCATTGGTGCCAGAGGTCCCTTCATTTTCACTTTGGTTTTGGGAGACCTTATGGATGTCGAAATGCATCCAGACAAATTCCCGTTTTCAGTAAATCTGCTTTGTTGTGACAGGGATTTAAGAATGACCATTCTAGCCTGTAATCCCAGCACTGTGGGAGGCCGAGGCGGGTGGATCACGAGGTCAAGAGATCGAGACCATCCTGGTCAACATGGTGAAACCCCGTCTCTACTAAAAATACAAAAAATTAGCTGGGCACGGTGGCGCGTGCCTGTAATCCCAGCTACTCAGGAGGCTGAGGCAGGAGAATGGCCTGAACCCAGGAGGCGGAGGTTGCGGTGAGCCGAGATCGCACCATTGCACTCCAGCCTGGGTAACAAGAGCGAAACTCTGTCTCAAAAAAAAAAAAAAAAAGAATGACCATTCTAAACGCCGGGTGGCCATGACTTAACCTGTACCCCTGAGTGGAAATGTGTCCATACATCTAATGTGGCCTTTTTTCTTACTGTGTTACATTCAGTGACCCGTTACCCCTTTGCCAGGTCTGTAATATTAAACCGCTTGTTAACGTAATGGCTCCATAACTAAAATCTTGGTAGTTCTTATAAGTAAACTAAAGCATTCTTCCACTTTATTTTCAGCTTTTGCTATCTTCTTAAGCTTCTTTTAATCTTTATAATAGTAGCAAATTATATTTTAGTTCTATATGACCTGTATCTATAGGACCTGTATTGTTTTTGAACAACATATATATAAGCATTTACAGTCAGGGTGACACATCTGGCATTTTGCAACAGTTTATTTCCCTAATAACAGAGATTTAATGAAATTAATAGTTTTTCGACTTTAGATTTAATGCACTTCAACTACAGGATGTAACCTGTTCTCTTGGCAAATTTCTGCAAAACTCTAATTTAATTTTTGTATGTAATATTTGTTCTACTCTTCTTGCTACAAAAGTATTGAATCTGTTAAAAGACACGGGAACTATTTCTATTGACAGGAGAAGCGTATTTGGGAGGAAATGCAATATACTTATTACATCAGACTCCCGAGGATTTCATCTGATGGTTTTAATGTTGGTCTCTTTCATACCACATGCCTTCCCTGGGCACTTTCAGCCTGTGAAATGACGCATCATGGCACAGCCTGTGTAGGTCATGCTGTTGTTGGAATTTGCACTCGCTGTCGTCCACTCTACTCCACGGTTCACCTACCGAAAAGCACGGGCTATGTTAACGAAGCATCTCACGATCCTACAGGAAACACTGTGGGCTGATTTTTAACTTGTTGCATGTTAGGCTGTAGTATCCACAGGTAGTTTGTTTTCAAACAAAGTACAGATGCTTATTTCTTTTAAAAAGCAGTTGTGAGTAATGTTTAACTATTGTAGAGCTAGGATGGGGGTTTGATATTTAATAGCTGGTCCATTGCCAGTGTTCCTTTGAATATAGAGTACTGCTGCTTAAAGAAGGAATAACAAAAAACGTTGTTTTACATAATGCTACTCAATAACCCTGATAAATTTCTGGCCCACTGAGGTGAATCTGTGTCTGAATTTTCTTTTTAGAGAGGATGAAAAGGTTGTTTTAACACATACTGTTTTGACGTTTCTACCATCTGTGTGTCTCAAAGAGATGTGTGTTTTTGTTAAATATGGATTTACACTAGTATTTCCTGACTCTATAATTTTATTTTGTAATTAAGCAATACAAGACTACAAATAAGAATGTTTAGAGAAAACAAAGACTAGTCAGACCTAAAATTCTAAATTGGATGTATATTTTTAAGTATTATTCAAGCCAGAGAAAAGAAGCACAGGTGAAATAGAGCTTAACCTAGTCACTTGAGCCATGGAAACCAAGGGGTAGAAATTTTCCCTACCTGGGCCTTTCTGAGGTATCCTGGTGGTTGATTCTTATTAAACCCTTGGGGGTTTAGTATTTAAAATTCCAAAGCCCATTCTAGCAAAAGTAATTTCAAGAACTACATATTGAATGGGAAAGCCAATTGAATCATGAAGAACATGAATTAATATATTTAGAATATAGTCAGGGTCTCCCCCAACCCCGAGTATATTACGGTGTCAAAAAGCTTGGCTAACGGGAAGTGCTGCTAAAAAGAGGTCCTGCCACATCTGCTTTGTCTAATCCCAAGGAATTAATTCAGAACTTAATAGGGTTTGCAATGGGGATTTGTTTTTAAAACATCAATAATTCTGAGTAGATTCAATTTTTTTTAGAATTTCGTCAGTCTTCCTGTCTCCTCTGTCTACTCTTGACAATATATAGGTAGACATATCCAGCTTGTCTAATACATCACAGATTATTAGTTAACAAGGTCTAAATTAGTGAACTTATATTGTATTGCTGGACCTTTTGAGTTAATAACAATGGTAACTTGTCCCAAGGCCTACCGCCATTGGGGACAGAGCAAGAGACTTTAAGAAGGTTCCTGGTGAGTCATCATCTAGTAAAGGCACCGTGTAGGGCTATATTATAGTAGGAGTTACATTGACTTCTGGGGCATTCCAAGGTTTCCCCTCCTTATCCATGTCTCTGTTATTTTCCGTCTCCGGCCAGTACAACACCCTTTCTTCTCCAGCTGCTCCCTCCCCACCAAATAGGAAAACGAAAACTCTCTAAAAGGCCAAGGAACAAATATTCTTAGATGTAAAGCATCCTCATCCCATGCTGCCTTTTTCAAAGAGATGTTAGGATATTTACCCCATTTCTGTATTTCACAATAGCTTTTCAGGCTGTCCTGCCTATATAAGCTGACTTATATTGAAAAAATCACTTTCAAATAAAGAGGATGAAATGACTTTACACCCCATTAAATACTCAGTCAAGCTTAGCCATGACTCAGTAACTAAAAAGTTCAAAAAATCCAGTTATGTAATGTGCAGAGTAGCAAATTGCAAGAAAAACAAGTTAATCTTCCAATGACTAAGTAAGGAAAACTGTTGTCATTATTGAACACGTAGTAAACTGCTAATTATTACAAACAAAGCAGTACTCTACCCTAAATCTGGACAATGCCCTGGACAGAACATAAGATTTTCAGCTTTCTCCTTTAAAGAGCTGTGCCTGGCTGGAGGATGGGTTTTATACAAGTTTTAATGTTATTTTAGAATGTACAGATTTTCTTTGTAAACACACATAGGGAAGGTTACAAACTTCTTAAATTTTAGAAAACCATCAAATCCTTTCATTACTACTTATATTCTATGCCAATTATAATATTCCAAGACTTATCTTTCTTCAGAATGCTTAAATATGGAAAGGTCCATTTATAAATATTTGATAGGTAAATAGTTCATATGTATTTTCTAGCCCTTTTTTCTCTGTCCTGCTCTCAAATAATTTCACTGCCCTCTCCTTTTCAAATGAAATATCTTGATAATAAGAAAGCAAAATCATTTTTGTGAAATACATATGGACAAAAAATACAACTTGTATTTTACTTCTGGTTCATTAAAATATTGTGTTTAGTTGGTTTTTTCCTCCCTTCTTTTCAGAAACGTGAAAGAAGTTGTTTTATTTCCTACAGTATAAAATTGGATAAAGCCTCGTTAGTAGACACCATCACGGTTCTGTTGTTTGCTGTGTTCATTTGCTTATGGATTGCGTGAGAACAGTCACTGTAATGAAATGTGTGTGCTGGGGGTGGGGGAAGGGCATGGGAAATGTTTTATGAAGAAAAGAAGTTATAAGCCTAATACTATGAAGTAACATCTAATGCAGTTCTTTTTAAGTGCAATATATTTATTTCTGCTAGAAATGTATTATCAACCTTATGTAATATTTGAAGCATTACATATTATTTGTAAACAGCTTAAAATTATATATTACCCCAATTGTACATAAGTACAAATGTGTGGATATTAGTTTCTTTCATTAAAAATTGTGTTTTTTTAAAAATATATATGCACCCACTTACACCTCTCATTCTCTTACACACTGTGTTTTATGATGTTTGGTACCTGTTTCCTTACCTGACAAAAGGATTAGATAAGATTGTGGGTCACGGCTGGCCACTCACAGGATGGATACAGCGTGGGATTACTGCGCAGTGTTTTTTGGATTTGTATTTAGTATTTGAAAGCTTTTGGAAAAGATATTGCTCTCAAGTTCCCACCATTTTCCATTTTTCTGCACCCAGTCCCCTTCGCTCGTTGATACTACCCAGTGAACCCTCAGAATCACATGATTTTGCACCTCTCTGTACTGAATTATACTGAAGACTCCATAAAACTTTAAACCTACTGTCTCTTATTTCAGCCATAAGTACTTGGTTCTGCTGTAATGATATTACACAAAGCAGAATGACACAAAATATCATTAACCAAATTATAAGTCTTAAACCTACTTCCACGACAGTCCTTCAAAATAGTTGATGTTATCTTCCCTCCTGCTTTCAAAAGTCCACCTCAATTATCCTTATTTTTGTGTGTGCATGCCTAACACTAACCTTTTAGAAATCTTTTATTTGGAAGAATTTCATGCTATGGAAAAGTGGCAAGAATAATTTAAAGAAACCCTGTGCACCCTTTACCCAGATTCACAATTGTTAACCCTTTGCCCCATTTACTGCATTGTATGCATTTATGGTGAGTAGTGTGCGCATAAAGACACAGGCACACAAATAGATATGTAATATATGCAGATTTTTCTGAACCACTTGAGAGTAAATAGCACGTCACGCCCCATTATTTCTAAATAATTTAAAGTATATTTCCTAAAAACAAGAAGATTCCGCAAAATAATCAGTAGAGTTAGCAATTTGAGGAGATTTAACAATGATGCAATATTGCCATGTATCATCTGTATTCCGGATTTGTCACATGACCCAGTAATGTCTTTTGTGGCATATTTTTTCTTTAGTACAGATCCACCTCAAGAGCGCATATTGTATCTAGTCATCATGCTACTTTAGTCTCCCTAAATACAGTATAGCTCTTCAGCCTGTCTTTGTCTTACACGGCAAAAGGATTCCTATTGTATTAGAATCATGAATTCATGCTGATGCCTTCAATTCCAATGCACTTCCACAGAGTTCTTTTTTCTTGCTTTTCCCCTTTTTATATCTGTATGGATGTGGTAGGAGAAGGCTCAACAATAACCTCCACGTATTTGTGTATCTAACTCTACCATACACTTAAAACTCATTTCGGATTGCTTCACCAGTACAACTACAATACACAAACCTGAAAAGAAGTCAGCATTGTTTGCATTGTTTCCCTGATCCTCAACTAAGAATATATAGCTAAATGACATGTTCAGCAGTTACTTGATTAATTCATTTTTTGTCCTCCTGGATAGCTATGTTACTCATGCACAATACAAGTGGGTTTATTTGTTCAGTTTGCTTGAAGTTTTAATGGATCTTTTCCTTCCTGTTTTTACTGATTTTTTTAAAAACAGAAAATGATGTGCTTCCAACAAACTCATAGAACCAACAATTGATTATGGCGAGGTTGGATTACAGCAAGGTTAGTGGATACAAGAATAATACTTAAAGAGACAGTTGCTTTCCTATATACCACCAGCAAACAATGGGAATTTGAAATAAAAAGTTATATCATCACTTAAAAATATAAATAAGAAACAATAGGTATGAATAAACAAAATATTCACAAAGGCTATATGAGGAAAACTACAAAACTCTGATGAAGGAAATCAAAGAAGGTCTAAACAAATGGAGAGGTAGTCCATGTTCATGGATAGTTAGACTCAATATTGTTAGAATGTCTGTTCCTCCCAACTTGATCTATAGATTCAATGCAAACACAGCCAAAATCCCAGCCAGTTATTTGTGGCTAAGAACAAACTGATTCTAAAATTTATGTATCAAGGCAAAAGACCCAGAATAGCCAACACAGTATTGAAGAAGAAAAACAAAGTCAGAGGACTGACACCACCCAACTTCAAAACTTACTACAAAACTACAGTAATAGAGAAGATATACAATACTAAATAAAGAAAATATACTTACTACAAAAATATAGTAATAAAGTGTGCTATTGGCAAGAGACAGAGAGCCTAGAACTAGGCCCACATAAATATAGTTAAATGACCTTTGACAATGAAACAAAGGCAGTTCAGTGGAGAAATAATAATCTTTTCAATAAATGGTACTGGAGCAACTGAATATCCACATGTAAAATCATAAGTGTAAACACAGACCTTACACCTTTTGCAAAAATTAACTTAAATGGATCATAGACTTAAACACAAAATGCAAAACTATAAAACTTCTAGAAAGTAACAGGAGAAAATCTAGGTAGCTTTGGTTTTTTAGGCACAATAACAAAAGCGCAATCCATTAACAAAAAATATTAACATGATGGATTGCATGAAAATTAAAAACTTATGTGAAAAACATTGTTAAGAGAATAAAATGACTAGCCACACTCTGAGAGAAAGTATTTGCAAAAACACATATCTGATAGAGGGTTTGTATTTCAAATATACACAGAGATCTTAAAACTCAACTATAAGGAAAAAAACCATGGGCAAAAATCGCTCTGAACAGATACTTAATCAAAGATATACAGATGGCAAATAAGTATATGAAAAGATGCTCAACATCACATGTGACTAGGGAGTTGCAAATTAAAACATGATCTACAACTACATACCTATTAGAAGAGGTAATATTCAAAACACTGGCAACAGTAATGCTGGTGAGGATGTGGAGCAATAGGAACTCTCATTGCTTATGGAATGCAAAGTGCTACAGCCATTTAAAAAGATAGTTTGCCAATTTCTTTCAAAGTTAACATAGTCCTATCACTATGATCTAGCAAGTATGTTCCCAGGTATGTACCCAAGTGAGTTGAAATTTTATGTCCACGTAAAAATCTGCACATGACTGTTTACAGTAGCTTTAGTCATAACTGCCAGAACATAGAACTAAGATGTCCTTCAAGAGGTAATGGATGAACAGTCTGTGGTACATCTGTTATTCATACAATGGAATATTTTTCAGCAATAAAAAGAAATGCACTATCAAGCTGTGAAAAGACTTGGAGGAATCTCAAATACATATTGCTAGTTGAAAAAGGGCTACACACTGGATAGTTCTACTTATGTGACATTCTGGAAAAGGCAAAATTATAGAGATAGTAAAATGATTGGTGGCTTCCACGGATTGAGGAGGGAGTGAAGAATGGAGGGATGGCACACAGGTGATATTTAGGCCAGTGAAATAACTCTGTATTCTACTATAATTGTAGATACATGAAATCATGCATTTGTCAAAACTCATACAACTGTGCCACTCGGAGTAAGCCGTAATGTAAGCCATGGACTTTTTAGTGAATGCACCAATACTGGTTCATCAGTTGTACCAGGTACGCTACAATAATGCAATAGTTGGAAACTGAACAACTTGCTCCTGAATGATCACTGGATAAACAACGAAATGAAGACAGAAATAAAGATGTTCTTTGAAATTAGTGAGAATGAAGACACAACGTACCAGAATCTCTGGGATTTAAAACAGTGTCTAGAGGGAAATTTATAGCAATAAATGCCCACATGAGAAGTGAGGAAAGATCTAAATTGACACCCTATTGTCAAAATTAAAAGAGCTAGAGGAGCAAGATCAAACAAATTAAAAAGCTATCAGAAGACAAGAAATAACTAAGATCAGAGCAGAACTGAAGGAGACAGAGACACAAAAAACCCTTCAAAAATCAGTAAATCCAGGCGCTGTGTTTTTTTGAAAGGATCAGCAAAGTAGATAGACTGCTAGCCAGACTAATAAAAAGAAAAGAGAGAAGAATCAAATTGATGCAATAAATAATGATAGAGGGGATATCACCACTGATTCCACAGAAATACAAACTACCATCAGAGATTACTACAAACAACTCTATGCACATAAATGAGTAAACATGGAAGAAATGGATAAATTCCTGGACACTTGGACTCTCCCGAGACTAAACCGGGAAGAAGTTGAAACCCTGAATAGACCAATAACAAGGGCTGAAGTTAAGGCAGCAATTAATAGCCTGCCAACCAAAAAAAGTCCAGATCCAGACAGGTTCACAGCTGAATTCTATCAGATGTACAAAGAGGAGCTGGTACCATTACTTCTGAAACCATTCCAAACAAAACGAAAAGAGGGAATCCTCCCTAACTCATTTTATGAGACCAACATCATCCTGATACCAAAACCTGGCAGAGACAAAACAAAAAAAGAAAACCTCAGGCCAATATCCATGATGAACATAGCTGCAAAAATCTTCAATAAAAATACTGGCAAACCAAATGCAACAGCACATCAAAAAACCTATCCATCACTATCAAGTAGGTTTCATCCCGGGGATGCAAGGCTGGTTCAACATAAGCAAATCTATAAATGTAATTGATCACATAAACAGAACCAAAGACAAAAACCACAGGATCATCTCAATAGATGCAGAGAAGGCCCTTGACAAAATTCAACAGCCCTTTATGCTGAAAACTCTCAATAAACTAAATATCCACAGAACATGTCTCACAATAATAAAAGCTATTTACGACAAACCCACAGCCAACATCATACTGAAAGGGCAAAAACTGGAAGCATTCCCTTTTAGAACCTGCACTAGACATGGATGCCCTGTCTCACCATTCCTGTTCAATATAGGAAGTCCTAGCCAGAGCAATCAGGCAAGAAAGAGAAATAAAAGGTATTCAATTAGGAAAAGAGGAAGTCAAATTGTCTCTATTTACAGATGGTGTGATTGTATATCTAGAAGATCCCATCATCTCAGCCCAGAATCTCCTTAAGCTGATAAGCAACTTTAGCAAAATCTTAGGATACAAAATCAATGTGCAGAAATCACAAGTCTTCCTATACACCAATAACAGACAGAGAGCCAAATCATGAGAACTCCCATTCAAAATTGCTACAAAGAGAATAAAATACCTA